AGCTTTAGAGTTATTACATCATTAAAGCTATAGTCTGCTCTATTGGATGTCTTTTTTTTTTAGGTTTCATTTTTAAGTCATCTTTACACCCAACGTGGGGGTCGAACTCACAACCCCGAGATCAAGTCACACACTCCACCAAATGAACCAGCCAGGCACCCCTTGGATATCTTATTTTTAAGATCGCTAGTGTAGTTTGGAGATAAAGGAAAAAATAGAGTGAAATAAGGGAAATTCATCTGCTTGACCATTTGACACTTTTGAGGTAAATAAAAAGGAAAGTGATAACAGAGATAAAGCCTTAAAGGGTGTTGGCCCCATTATGAAACCATCTACTGTAACCTCTGATGGTTCAAGTATGAAAAAAACATTAATTCATTTTTAACATTTGGAGATTTTTCTTTCATGTTACTTTGCATCGGCAGGACAGGGAATTTCAGGGATTTTGCTCCAGAAAAAGTCAGGAAGGTGTTCCTCGACATGTGGTGGGATGTGCAGTAACCCATCTCCTGTCCTGTTACCCTGTTAAGGTGGAAGCTGGAGAGAGCAGGGTCCCAAGCAGTAAGAGGGATCCCAACAGGAAATTGCTAAACTTTGACAGGAGAAAGTTTATCAGGAAATGACATCAGAGGTCTCAGAGGGCTGTAACACGGCAGACAGGAACCGGGGTGTGGAGCTACTGTGAGAATATGCATGGGCCATGTGAGCCGACTTTACCTGTGTTCAAATCTGCAGCATACGTTAAGTGTGTAGTGCATAGTTTCAACCGTGCCAACGGCCCAGTAAAAACCACAGGACACAGGCATAGCTATTTCAAAACACATCCTTGGGAATGGACTGACGATTATAACTTAGAAAGTGCAGGAGCGTCTATCTCCTATTGTTAAACTATCACTGTATTTTGAAAGCGTCATAAGAACACATTCCAAATAGTCTTAAGGCAGGAGAATAATGTGAGAGAGAACTTGTTCCCAGAGGAAGTGCAGAGTGAGGAATGCAAACATCTACAGCAACGGGGAAGTTAAGAAAAGGTGCCCCCGTCACACAGACAGTCCAAACCCCACTGGACCCTAGAACTTCGAGGGGCCTCGGGCAAAAGACACTCAAGAAGGAATTTTTAAGGGGACACATTTCGGGGAAAAGGCTGGAGAAACTGAACATTGATCCACCGCAATAAAGATGCCAAAAGCAACAAAAATATTTTAAACAGTCATGACCTCTTAACAGCAGCTGCATCTATGGTCACAGAAAATGTGGTAGTTGGAGTCAGTAGGAGACAACGGCCTTCCCATGGCTCAAGGCTCCACCAGAGATCACAAACACAGGTGAGCAGCCTCACCTGGTTTATCAGTTAGCCTATAAACACTGAGATCTCCAATTTGCAGAATTGTGGCAGTACCCCCAGGTGGGAGACACAATGAATTCAGTTTCACTGCAGGGCTCCCTAGCAGGAATCCAGAGCAATAATCTTCCTTTAAAACTTGACCCACTGAAACGTGGGCTGCAGAAAACTGAAAAGATAACATCATGGTTTCTCTTATCTACTTTTGCAAAGTGCTGGGGGAAATTGCAAGTGGCCTAAGTGTGTCTAAGGAGGAGGCCCACGGGGGAGAGGGAGAGGAGGGGCTGGGTGTGGCAAAGAGGATGCAGGTGACAACGACCAGCGTGAGTGCATTTGTTGAAACTCTTGCAAGAAGAGGACCATAGAAAGGGCGTGCTGATTTCAGTTACCCACCCATGTGGGAGAGTGAAGTGAGAGAGCATGTGTTTTAGAGCCAGACTCCACTGAACTCTTCTGGGCGTTTCCCCCTCATTTGCAAAATTGAGAAAATCACTTTACCTACTTCAAAGGGGGCTGCAAGGATGCAATGAAATATGTGCGAAAAGTGCTTAACAGGAGTTCTGGTGAAGAGGAAGCACGGGGTAAATGTTGTTACGACCTGTGCGCGCACACACGCAGCCTGTAGGAAATAGTCTGTGAGTATCATTACCACCACAAAGCTGCTTACTATGGGGCAGGCAGCTGCACGGCCCTCTCTACCCCTCCAGTATCAATAAGCACATGTCAAAAAGCAAAAGTTGGGAGGCTGGGATCCCTCACAAGGAAAGGCATAAACTTCCCTTACTCTTCCCTCTACTCCAAGAACCATCATATTTTACATCTCTGAAATTCTCCAGGAGGTTTAAAAAAAAAAAACAAGAGATCCCCGGACTCCATGTTGGCCGGGCTACCCTGAAAGTGAACAGAAGCCAGGCACGCAGGTCAGGCTCCAGGGAAGGGACTCCGGGACTGCCTCCGGCTCTGCCCACGGGAGCATCCCCACGCGGGAGAGCCCCTTTGCAAGTGGCTGGCCAACTGTAAGTCCTAGCTGATGGCACAGCGAATCCCGGCCTTTGCGCTTTAACTATAGTGTTTCTCAAGTGTAAGGACAAGCGGACCACCCTCTTTATCTCAGCCGCCAGCCTCTGAGGGCAGAAAGGCACCCCACAGGCCCAAAGCTGAGAGCCTTTGGCCCCACACTGGGCAGTGTCAGGAGCTCCGGCCTCAGCAGCGCTGCGACCTCCACGGTGAAAGAGCTCAATTCAGCTTTCAGTCCTCTGCAGAAAGGAGATAAATTATAAAGCCTAAAAGGTTGGATGGGCTTAAAAGCAGGGGCCAGGGGATGGGAAAGCAGAGGAACCCAAGATTCGGAACAAAGGTCAATGGAGTCTTCCAGTTATAGTCCCAATGCACCAACCACAGGCCTCCTAAGAACAGGAAGGAAGGGACCCTATCCCTCCCACCTCTCAGCCGCCCTATCTCCCCACCCTGTCCAATTCCCTGGCTCAGTGATGGGCTTATACTGGGCAGGGCTAGGATTCTTCTCTCCCCATAGGCTGTCACACTATAATATTTGCTCTGCTTCCTTCCTTTCCAAAGCCTAACAGATTAGATTGCAGGAGTCCTATCCAGCTCACCAAGACAGAGATGGAAAACTGAAAGTAAGGCAACCCAAACTGCTCAGGGTAGAAAGACAGAGGAGGCGGGGCAGTCCAATGTGCCAGCACCCAGACCCTCTTTTCCAAGCCCTCTGTCCACCTGCCTCATGAAGAAGACGGGAAATCAGTAAAGTGCCACTAGATGCAACACCGTGAAGACCATGCTCCTGCCGTCTGGGTCTTCGTAGCATTCCAGCACTTTGAGGAAACACCCAGCAAGCAAGCAGGAGAGCTGGTTGTTCGGGAGGATTTGACTGATAGAGCTAATGCTTCTGCCTTCCCATTTTTGCAGAATTTCTCCATAAGGAGACACCAACCAAAATCTGCGTGTCTTCAGGGTTTATTTCAACCTTAGTAAAATACAGAGCCCAATACAGTTCAGCTCGCCCAGGATGACAAGATGGGGCATGCAGGCCCTACTTCCTTTTACAGAAGAGAGAAGAAAGCACCAACAAGAGGGAAAAGAAGGGCTTGCAAGCTCTCTACCCAGGAGCAGGTGGTTTGCAAATCAATACCTAGGTGATCACCCTCACCTGTGAAGTGAGCAAGGCTCCCATCATCAACTAGCTGAAATACCACCAGGGGCGCTTCATAGAAAGTGGGGCTTACAAAAACAGGCTCACCAAAAAGGTCTAAAGGCAACATCCAGAGGAAATCCTCATGCACCAGGTCAGTGAACCAAATTTCTACAGGCTTGAGGTACTGCCACACTGCTCTTTTCCCTTCCATCTGGACAGGTGCAAACAATTCATGTACCTGCAGCCATTCATGCATTCATTCATTCAACAAACACCTGCTTAGCACCTAGGAGATGTCCTACATCATGCTGGCCATAGGGTCTAGACTATAAGGTAGACTTTTGCTATGGCAAGAGTCATTGCGTTCCGGCGCACACATGGAGAAGACAAATACCTGAAAGGATGATGCTTTCCAAAAAGCTTCCCCTGGTTTCTCAAAGCATGCCGGATCTCTATTTTAGCAGTCCACTTTGTGTTGGAGGCACTCGTGGACAGCCTGTGACTGCCATCGGACTCCCTGAAGACAGAGGCTGGCCTTCCTTGGACACTGCCTTTCACATCCTTGTTATCCATTACATGTCAACTGAATGCAGCCGTGGAACAGAAAACAAGCCCTTCTATTCTTTCCAGACCTTTGGTTTCACTGTTTCTGAAGGCTGTGCCACCAGACAAAGAAAAAGGATGAAGCTCCAGAAAGGAGGAGAAAGGGAAATGACTTAGATATATTAAGAACATGAGTCCAATTTTGGAACTTCAGCCCAAGTGCAACCACCACTCAGCGGGCTGAGGTGCCTCCAAGGGCCACAGCTGGAGGCCTGGTAGAGGCTTCCCCCCCGCCCCCCCCCCCGCTCTTTTCTGCTGCTCACTCTCCTCCGGAAAACCCCATTTGGAGTCCTAAAGAAAGAAAAGAGGAGGAGCGGGAGGAGTTAGAAGGGGAACATTCAGCTAGAACCCAAACTCACCAAGAAGGAAGGAAACCTTAGGCGAAAGACTTGGGGGGGGGGGCGGGGAGGGCCGGCCTGGGGGAGGAGATGTGTGAGGCCCAAGTGGAGGTGGCCCCGCCGTGCCTCCTCTCTGGAGGTGCCCGTACACCTCTCCTTCCTGCACGGCCTCTTCTGCCCCTTTCCTCCTCCCTTTTTTGTGTTTTTTGGGATTTTTTAATTTATTTTTTGTCTTTTTGTTAGTCTGATGAAGTAACAGTCTTCAGGACTCGAGCAGAAAAGGGAAGCGTGTAAGGTGAGGAAGAAGTTGATGAGAGCGAGAGACAGCTCACTCAAGGGTGCTTTCCCAATCTGGCACCGAACCTGCGTTTTAGGACAGTTTTCCATCAAGGCACCCCCCCACACACACAGCCTGGAGTTCCAGAAGCCCGAGGGTCCGCTCTGGACCCAGGGGAAAGGAACGGATCTCCCTAGGGGAGCACTGTAGGCCTGTCACGTAATAAGGTAATAGGGGAAGAAAAAAACGAGGCTCCATGGCCCAATCCGAGCCCAAGGGACTTGCCTGGGACGCTCTCCGCTCTCCTCCCCTACCCGCAGCCCGGGCAGTCGTTGCGAGGCCGGTGCTCCCGGCGCCAGAACCCGCAGAGAAGTTTCGCCGCTGCAAACGTGAGAAAATGCAGCTCAGCAGAACACCCGCCCCCCCTTCCCGCGGCCCCACCCCCCGCAGCCCGACCCCTGGCGGTGGCGACCTTGGCCGCCCCGGACGCTCCAGAAGATTGGAGGAGGGGCTGCCCTCCGGGATTTCCCGGGGGCTGCAGGAGGCGCCCAGGGGCTGCGGCGACCTTCCCCTTCGCCGTCAGCCGCCAGGGCAGGCGCACCCGGCCCCGCCTGCGCGCCCTGGGCGCCCCCGCCCGGGCTCCCCTGCTCCCCCTGCTCCCCAGCCTCGCCTGCCCCCGCGCGCCCCTCTGCGCCCTGACCCGCAGGGCGCCCCACTTACCCCGCCGTGCGGCGGCCGGGGCTCGGGCAGGGTGGGTTACATCGGGGTGGGACGCGCCTCTCCGCCCGGCCGGGCCGTCGCTCTCGGGGGATTTCTTTATCTCGCTGCCAAACTCTCGGGGCCTCTCGCTCCTCTCGCTCTTCTCCCCTTCACCCCCACCCCTCCTTCTCTCTTGTCTCTCGGCTCTTTTTTCCGGGTTAATTACGTTTCGCATTAAAGCAAAACCCAGCCCCGGATGTGAGTACAATGCTCCGCCGAGCCCGCCGGGGGAGGAGAGGGGTGCCGGGGCGCCGCGGGGTGGGAGGGGGCGCGGCCGGGCGCCGCGGGCTGCGCGGAGGAGGCGGGGGCGGGGCGCCCGGGAGGCTGCCCTGGTGGCGGCGGGCCAGGCGCGGGCCCGGGACCACCTCGCCGGCGTCGGCGGCCGCGCAGGTGGGACCCGGGCCGCCGAGACTGCCGCGCGGAGGAGGCCTGCCTCCGACGCCGAGCCCCGGGCAGCAGGTGTCCGCAGCCGGAAAGGGGCCCGGGGCTGAGGGCGTCCTGGAACGACGGAGGCCAGCCGGAGCGCGGGCTCCCTCTTGAACCCCATTTCTGCTTCCCAGAGCCCCACCCAGCGACTTCAGCCGGGCCTCCCTCGGATCGTGAGCCCTTAGCCTTTCTAGGGCCGCAGGGTGAAAGTTTAGGGTTGGGGTCTTAAGAAGGAACGATTCTCAGGGGTTGTCATGAATGTGCCAGAAGAGCCCAGTGGCGCCGGACGTTTTAACGAGGGGTATAGGGACTTTCTCAGTGTGACGCAAAGACGCCTTTCCTGCCCTCAGAGCGGGAGGGTGCGCTGGAAAAAAAATGGGAAACAAGCATACATTAAGTAAATAATGCCAAGGGGGACCTAAGAAAATCACTGCGTGCCGGTGCAGCCCCTGCATGATCTCCTTTGATCCACACAGCAACCGTACGGGTATCAATCCCGTTCACGATGAGGAAACCGAGACTCAGAGACGTTAAGTAATTTGCCCTGGGTCCCACAGTTAATCAATGGCAGGTCTGTCGGGTTCTGACGCCGGCCTCCCACGTGGGGAGATAATTTAAATATACATAAAGTCCGGCACAAAACCTCGGAAACAGGGACGCATAGTGGATTCACCCGCGGGATGGAGGACAGAGAGATAGATGCTGGGTCTAGGTATTCTGACGCAGACGCGTTGAGGCTTTGAGGGAGAGGAGGACAAAGGAAGACCCTTGAGGCTCTAGGACAGGGACTGGCTGTGCGGGAGTGATGGAAAGGCTGGTCCACATCCCACTATTGTAGGGGAAAAGCACGCTAAAAAGTCTCCGGGACCTGAGGCAACATAGCCTGGGAGTAGGGGACCTTGCGCACGGAGCGGGGCAGCAGGATGACATGCTGTGCACAGCACACACCCCTAAAGCACCAGTGATGAAACCACATAAGTTTCCTCTTCCATTTTGATTGCCAAAGCAAAACTGAGCCACTAGTTCTCTCAGGTGTGAAACAAAGGCTCTTTGCTCTAGAACAATTTGCTTCGAATGAGGAAGGAAAGGGGGACACAAGAAAAAAAATTTTTTTCCTCTGAAATAAATACATCAACGTCAGTTTTTTTCTGCTCATGAAGATTTTTGCCACTCACAAGTTTCAGGCGAGGTAGCATCTTAAGGAGCGTGTTCTCTGGAGCCAGATGGACTGGGTTTGAATCCCAGCTCTGCCACTCATTAGCTTTGATCTCTGCCCAAATGACAACATTTCTGTGCCTCAGTTTCTATCTGGGTTGTTATGAAAAGTAAACGAGTTAACATTTGTAGTGTTTAGATTATTGTGGAACATGAAGTAGGTGTTATGTAAATGTGTTTTAATTTAAAAATTAGATTATGGCTTTCATCGTGAAAAGGAACAAAATTCCACCCAGCTCCAAGCAAATCTGACTGGAACTGACAGTTTCCAGTATGAGCAATGAGGTAAAAGTCTCAGATTTCATGGTATGGTTCAGATTAAAACCCATAAAACTCTACTCCCCATGGGGCGTGCCTGAGTCACTCACTCACAGAGCCACAAATATTTTCTGAGCACTACTGTATTGGATGCCTGGGAAGCAAAGGGAGCCAAAGGCCTTGGGTCTATTAGGAGGATACAAGTGTCACTAGAATGTTGAGGCAGCCTTGTATCCCTCTTGGAAGTATTGTGAAAATAGCCCAGAGAATAAGTACAGCCAGCCTTTAGAGGAACAAGACATCTGGAGGGAGAGGTGGAGGGGAGCTTATATCAAAAAGGAGCTGGACTTTGAAATGGGCCTGAGAAAATGGTTACAATTTTACTGGAGGGGGGCAAGAACACAGGCTAGGAAGAGGGTCATCAGTGCACTTTGGGTGATGCTCATATTTCACTGGGAGCCCCATTTACCACCACATTGCCCCTGGCCAGGACCCAGCTCCAGTTAGACTACAATTTCTTCCCTGATTCCATTCCCTTATCCCTAGACTCTGCTTCCTCAGAGTGGACTCCCCCCATCCCCTCCTGTAGTGGGGACCACAGAGCAGGTGTCAGTTGAGTCTGCTCCCTGCTCTGTAGCCCCATTGCTACCTCTTGACCTGGACATTTTGGAAAATACTTCCATTACCTGATTTTATGCATTCATTTTTTTTTTCAGTGCAATAAATAGCCTCGATGTCTGAAAATGTAACCTCCTGTGGGGAAAGGAATGTCAAAAAAAGGGCCTTTCAGGGTATCCGGGTGGCTCAGTTGGTTGAGCATCCAACTCTTGATTTTGGCTCAGGTCATGATCTCAGGGTTGTGGGATCAAGTCCCACATCAGCTCAGCTAAGCAGGAAGTTTTCTTGAGATTCTCTCTCTCCCTCTGCCCCTCCTCCCCGTGCTCCCTCGTGAGTCTCTCTCTCTCAAATAAATAAAATCTTTTTTTAAAAAAAGGGAGAGCCTGGGGCGCCCAGGTGGCTCAGTCATTGAGCGTCTGCCTTCAGCTCAGGTCATGGTGCCAGGGTCCTGGGATCGAGCCCCGCATCGGGCTCCCTGCTCGGCGGGAAGCCTGCTTCTCCCTCTCCCACTCCCCCTGCTTGTGTTCCTGCTCTTGCTCTCTCTCTGTCAAATAAATAAATAAAATCTTTTAAAAAAGGGGAGGGAGAGCCTTTCACATCACCTATTTCAATCCCCTCATTGTGTCTACAAGATGACGTTCTTTGCTCAAGGTTTTCCAGCTAATTAGTGGAAGATTTGGTTCTAGAACCCAGGATTGACTTCCCCCAGAATCTTCTATTGGTATAGGAACCTTTCCATGAAGACGGAGACTTCTGGCCCAGAACCCAAGAATCTAAACAGTAGCCTATGCTCTAGCCATTTATTTATGCACTTTCTATTTGTTTTCAATATTAACGGCTGGGAAACTAGATGGCCTAATAACCTTCAGTGGGGAGCCAGCGCACCCTCTGGGCAAATGCATGATTCTCTGTCCTTAAAGATACCCATTATACAAGTAAGGTACAGGCAGCAGCCAGGGCCCATTAGTTGCACTGGGGAAAGTGGGAGACTCAAGAGCTCATTGGTTAATCCTGGTTCAGGCCAGTTAATTTCGCACAGAGAGAATTTGCTCCAAGGCCATTGCACCTCTAATGGTAGCTGGCCATTTCATAGTTACTGTCAGTTTCCATAGCAAAGTACCATCCATTTCCAGAAAGATTACTCAAACTACTGTTGTTCTCTTCACTCCTATTCATTCAACAAACAATTATGTGAACCTATTGCCATTTTCCTCCCACCAGGTATCTTGCATTTACTTATTATCCAGGTACTTGCTAAATGCTAATTGTTTTATGTGGATTATCTCACTTAAGTCTTAACTGGGAGCAACATACTATTATGTTCTCATAGATAATATGACGAAGGCATACAGACTAAGCCTAGGTACAAACCGGTGCAGCCTGATACCAGAACCTGCCCTCTTAACCACTGAGTTTGTGAAGGATACAGAACGACATAACACAAGGCTCCTTCCCATCCACATTTGCAATAATTGTCATCATTTAGAATCTCCATTTCATGTCACCTGGCAATTTCATGTCCAAGGATATGTGCTCCAGAAAGTCACCTGGAGACCTATACGGTATATATGGAGTATGTGCACATATGTAGTGTATATATATGGAATATATATACACATACTCACTACAGTGTTGTTCATAATGTCAAAAATTGGAAATCACCCTCATGCTCATCAGCCCAGGATTGAATAGGTAAATACGGTACTTCCATATAATCCTATGCTATGCAACTGTTAAAAAAGAATGACATATCTCTCTTTATACAAAATATGAAAAATACTAGATATTTTAAGTGGAAAAAAGGCACAGGGCTGTCTGTATAGTATAATGCTATTTCTGTAAATAAAAATTATACACGTTTCTTACATGAAAAAAGAGTAGAAGACTACATTCCAAACTGTCCACAGTTCTCTTAGGGTGGAGAAGGAGGGGTTATAATGGTGTATCTCACTTTCTAAAAGATGTATTTTCTGTAATGTTTAATTTTTTGCAATAAGCATGCCTACATTTGGTTGTCAAAAAGCAATAATGGTTTAAATTTTTAATTAAAAAAAATTTTAAAGCTCTATTTGAAAGCATATTGCAGCCCTCAAAGAGCTCATCCTTGAGCCTGGGAGGGAATATAACATATAGAGAAATATGGATAGAATATACAGGAAGACAGTGTAACATATATAGAAATAACTATCGTGAAAGCCAGAAACTCATATACACAGATTGATGAACAGAGATACAATTCTGTGGGAAAATCAAACCAGCTTGTGTTGAGAGGTGCGGGAGAAAATGTGTACAAGAGATGGCACTTTGGGAGGACCTTGCAGGAAAGGGAAGATATAGAAGGTGGAGAGGGGGTGAGAACAGGTGGCCGCCCCATAAAGACCGCATCAAGGACAAAGTGTAGAGGCAGGAATGCATGGTATCCCTTCAGGGAAGTGTGGCCAGTCCAGTTCAGTTGGAGTCCGGGAGTGTAGATGAAGGATTGTCATGGGGAACAAAATGGGAAAGAAAGGTTGTTGGAGGGTCTTTACTGCTAAGCTAATGAGTTGTATTCATTATTTTAGGCTCCAAGAGCAACCTGAAGGTTTTTGAGCGAGGAAGTGACACAATTCACAGTGATTTCATAGGGACTGCTCGGTAACTGGACTCTAGCACCAAGCTCTTGGGATTTGCCTCCTGACTCACTAATTTGCTGCATAGCCTTGGACCAGTTATTTTACTTCTCTGTGT